GCAAAGTAAGAATTTCATTGTACAGGGAAACACGTTTCCTAACTGTGCATATGACAAATAAACACTGTGACCTTGTTTTTAGTGAACATTTGTTAATTTTGTGCTAATAGAAGACAAACATATTCATGGCAAACATGTGAAATTGTTTCACCTCTCGCAGATTTTGCTGTATTTTGCAAAATCCACCATAAAGAGTACTAGAATAAACACTTTGATATGGATACTCATTGTGTTGCATATGTTTAAGGGAAAATAAAACCGTTCAACCCTGTGTTTCTTGTTAAGCTTTTATGAAATGATTATTATTATTATATTCTGTCAGACATCAAGGTTGTGCTAAAATATCCCAGCTGGGTTTTATACTAGGGCATAAGACTGAGTCTGTTTTTAGCAAACAAGTTGTCAGATTGTTTTTCACTGAATATTTTTATTGCTGTAATTATTTTGTAGTTTGACCCAGTTGGTGGAGTGAAATGAAGGGATATTTATTACTTTTAAAAAATATTAGCAGAAGCAGAGTGGTTTTTTTTTTTTTACTCCACCAATTTAACCAGGTCACAGTCGAACTAAAATCCATAAAAGCATGAATCTATTGAATAGATTAATTCAGAATGTATCGCGTACTTAGAATGCATTGGACTCAAACTGAATGTGATTATAAAAACTTTTGTGAATTCAGGTTTAGCTTTTTTTTCATCCAGAAAAAAGATTCAGTTCAAAAGCAAGTCTTTGTACGCAGTTGGTAACATAATAATTAGATGATTGGACATGAACTTTCCCTTCAGTGGAGAAAATACTATTTAGGTATTGACTATGAAAAAAAAACTCCCCCCATTAAAGAAATAGATTAGTGGAATGGCAGACATTTGCCATGAATGCCACCACACACACGCACACACACACACACACACACAGGCAGCACAAGGGAGCAGATGAGGCACTAGCTGTTCTCTTTTTCAGGGAAGCAATGGTGATGAAAGAGTGCAGGGATGGGTCTTCCATCCTCTGATCTGCCGCTACTTTTGACATCAGCAGTCACTGACTCCAAACGCGCAGAAGAACTGGGGGGGGGGGCAAACTAGAAACTGACAGTCTGTTCACAACCGCAGATAAACTCCCTTCCATCCACCCTCTATCTTGAAATTCCTCCTTCTTTGCTGTTGGGTCTTTCATTAATTTGCCTGCCACCATAAATAAGCGTTGAATAAATTATAAATGGAGCACCATATTTGCCCCTCGCACACATTCCTCTCATGGACAGCATCAGTGGTTAACTGCACCTGTAGAGACACAACACAGGGAACTGATATGAGCTAAGCAGCAGCTCAGTGGCCTCCCGCTGTGTACCTAACTTTACCGAAGCCCACCTCATTCTCTCTGACAGCCGGCACATCCATAAATACCCTGTAGCTACAGATACTTTGTGATCTCAGACTCATTTTTCATACTCCCCTTGCAGGTTGGTCATCCAGGACTTGTCAAATAAGATCACCACATGGTATTTCAGTGCGTGTGGACCATGGAAAGAGGATCTGAGCATAGCTATAATGTGCTGACGTGGGTAGATGTGGGGTGTCTCAAACTGCACAGAGAGTGTGAAAGAAATTCATGTGTGCCAAGCAGAGCAGCAAAGATATATCAGCATGTCAGAGAAAATTCAGCTTGAGCATTTACTTATTTTGATGATTTATTACTGGAGTTAAATGCATGACTATCATACATGCTTTTCACTGCAATTCACCATATATCCCAGCTAAGCCAGTCAGAGTTGTCCCTTCTGCACTGGTGCCTGTTTTGCATTCTCTCTCTCTCTCTCTGGGGAACAGGCACACCCATCAGGGACCATTAGTCTTCACACTGACAGGCTATAGCCATCCACTGAGAGACTCTCCCTGGTGGAGCTTTAGCATTGCCTCAGACTGTGTCGGGTATTTTTACTAACAGGGCTCTAGTTGCTGGCCTCACCCCAAATTTACATTCTCCTGTGCCTACTAAAGAGTAAAACAAGCCACCTGAGACTTCACACAGCTTCTTAGGTTCCTGCACAGGTGAACAAATGGAGGGATGAAAGGTCATGTGGACAGATGTATCAAGAGGTGCTATAAAAATATCTAATAATATTGCCTTCCTGTGTGCAGACAGATGCAGCGCTGATGTATGACGCTGTGCATGTGGTGGCGGTGGCGGTGCAACAGTCGCAGCAGATAACAGTCAGCTCTCTCCAGTGTAATCGCCACAAACCGTGGCGCTTCGGTGGGCGTTTCATCAGCCTCATCAAAGAGGTACAAGGTCATCACTGCTATCAACGTGCACACTGTCTTTACCTCTGGCCATCTCTGCATTATGGAATCTGATTAACTCTGTAGCTCTGTTGTGTTTTATAGTGTACTCATGTTTGCAAGTATTTTCTTTGTAAGTCACTGCAGTGCTTTTGTTGATCTGCTTTATGTGTGGTTTTCAGAGTAAGCTCTTCTTTATCAGTCTTTCCATTGTAGAAAATTGTGATTGTTATGATAAAACCCATAAACATCCCCAACAAGTTTATTGTCTAATCTTAACACTCACAGATTTCCTTTATGGATTGTGCTCTAAGTAACCGCCGCATTATCAACTGCAACAACATGTTTTTTGTGATGTTTCATTCTTTTTCTCCCATTTTTTTGTCTGTGCATATCACCGCCGTGTTTACATCAGAGCCTCTGTGTGTCTCTTTAACTCTAGTCAGGGTCAGCCATTTGCTTTGTTCTAAAAAGCTCTTTCATTCTGTGGATGGTATCATTGCAGGTAATTTTCAAAATGAGCTGTTGTAGTAGCTGGTGCCCACCCCCCTCCTGTGTCTGTTACTATCGCTCTCCATGTCCGACTGCTCCTCCAATGGCTTTGAAGTGAAACTTTAAGCACAATGAACCACATGCATAATGAACTCTTACCTGCCAAACCTGCTTCTATTCTCACTGTTTTATTGTTTCTTGTTATTTTGTTTAGATAGACAGTGGGGGAGAAGGCAGGCAGAATTCATAATTGGGCAAAGAAAAGTTTTATTGTTAGAGGCTGAATTGATATTGTTGAGAAAGATGATACCCTAGGGTTAATGGAATGGCTGCTGAGAGCTGAGCATTTTGGTTTATTATGCTGTATATTTACTGTATGTCTTTAGGCTCACTGGGATGGTTTGACAGGACGTGTTCTTTTCAACAAGACCAATGGCCTGAGGACAGATTTTGACCTGGATGTCATCAGTCTGAAGGAGGAAGGGCTGGAAAAGGTGTGTTATTCTGTGTAACTTCTGTGTTTTACAGAGAAAAACAAACTGTTGTTCAGGATGCTTTACAGTATCCAGTTCTGTAGACAACTGTAAACAAGACAAAGCGCTATTAGCTTCACAGCGAATTGTTTCAACAGATTGGAACATGGGATCCTCCCAGCGGTCTGAACATGACAGACACTCACAAAAGCAAGACATCCAACATCACCGACTCTCTGGCTAACAAATCCCTGCGTGTATCCACTATACTGGTAAACACATACAAATGAAAACACCAGCAGAACACACAGTCGGCAAATATACACAAAAAAACAACTGAATATCTCATATAAAACACCCAGACCACTGCACTTCTATGCCAACTTATTTTCTCTATACAGGAGGAGCCATATGTGATGTTTAAGAAGTCGGACAAGCCTCTCTACGGGAACGACCGCTTTGAGGGCTACTGTATCGACCTGCTGAGGGAGCTCTCGTCCATCCTGGGGTTCCATTATGAGCTGCGGTTAGTAGAAGATGGGAAGTATGGTGCACTGGATGACAGCAATGGCCAATGGAACGGCATGGTGCGGGAGCTCATGGACCATGTGAGTAAACAATAACTATGGCTACACATAGTGACATGCAGAAAAATGAAAGCGAATATGCCGAAATCACCAGGTACATCTAAAGCTGGATAGCACTGCATTAAACATTTTTTGTATTTTCTAGGAGCAATGATGTTTTTTTTTTTTACTTATAACAACCTTTGCTTTTCTTTATTACCAGTTGATTCAAAACAGTAAGAGCTAAATACAGTGTAAGATTTACATATCTTTTAGCACTGATGTAGGTATTTTTCATAAAAGAACATTGCACAGAGTCTCCCTATAAAGTTTTTTTTTCTTGCCTAGACTAATAAAAACGTATAGTGGGAATATGTGAACTTGTCTCTTATTCCTTCTTGTCTGAAGGCCCTGACTCTCTTTTTTAAATTCTTAAAAGTAAAATATTTATACCGCACTGGCATATTTCTTTTAAATAGGATGTGAAGTTTTAAAAAGACATTCTGTAACAGTGAAAGAAGAAATAAATGAATGAATATTGGATATCACACACCATGCTCATTGTAACATCAGGGGGTTTGCTGCTACAGCCTGACAGCTGGTCAAGTATGACCAGCAGCTTATGGTGTAAGTCCTGCTGACATTTTTTAGTCAAGATGCTGACTTCATTACCTTTTGCCATGGTTATACCGTATTTCAGTGTTATTCAGTAAATGTCAGTTGTTGCCACATTGGATGCTGCTTAGCAAAAGGTGTGAGCTCACTTGATGAACATAAGGCTTTAAGGGCTCAAATATGGACAGAAATGACTTGATAAGAGAGACATTTATACAGTAAATATCCTTTAGCACATAGTAAATGCCAGTCTGACCGGCGGTGGCTTTATGACAGAGAGTTATGAGACTGAGGTAAAATGCAAAGCACTAGTAGCTGGTAGCAGCCTTTATTCACTTTCCTATATCCTACATGAGAACCTCCAGTCAAGGCAGCCAACTGCCTTTTGTAGTGTAAAAGAGACTTTTTACAGTAAACAGTGGAACAATACAATTTTAAGTAATAAAGATTTACACAAAACCAAGAGTGTGCATAATTAGAATACAAAAATGACCATTGCTGTTTTCTGTCTTCTGTCTCTTCATCCTGTCCATATTGAGCAGACTAGTTGTCGACAGAAATCAGATGTTAATTCATTTTTTTTTTATTGGTGGACTTAAACACCTACACCCACTCCACCCGTGTTATCTCATTGTAGAAAGCAGACCTGGCCGTGGCTCCTCTGGCCATCACCTACGTCAGAGAGAAGGTCATTGACTTCTCCAAGCCCTTTATGACATTGGGGATAAGTATCCTGTATCGCAAGCCCAACGGCACCAACCCCGGGGTCTTCTCCTTCCTCAACCCCCTCTCGCCTGATATCTGGATGTATATTCTGCTGGCTTGCTTAGGTGTCAGTTGCGTGCTGTTTGTCATAGCCAGGTAACATGTCAACCCTCCCTCTCCCTTCCTCCATCCTTCCTCCACTTTCATCTTCCCTATCTGTTTGCCTGCTTTCACTAACACACAGCAGTTGCTCCCTCAGGGTCTGAAGAGGGGATTTCATTCACTGAAAATCATCAATCTGTGACAGGTGGAAAAAGCACTCCTGCAAGAGGCAGTGCACGCCTCTTTATCTTAGATGACTTCAGTCATGTAGATATGGCTTACAAAAAAAAAAAAAAATCAAATCAGCAGTAAATTGTTTGCTTGTACAGTAGTTAACACTACTGTTGATCATTTTACAGCTACATAATATATTATTAGATCATTTCTTTTGGTTACAATTGGGTTATCATTGCTTAAAATACAAATGCAGGCATAGACTGTTTTAAATTAATTTAACAGTTGGGTGCCAAACATTAAATTGTAGATTTTCAGAGCCTCCTGCCATGTTTATACTTACCACCCAGAGCAGTTTTCAAAGCAGTCCATTGTTTTAGCTTTATTATCATGCCATGATATAATAATTCAGAGATAAAGAATAATAATTCTTTGCTGTGAAAACAGTAAATGAGCTAAAACAATTAGGAAAAAACACAGGTATGGTTTTTAAAATCAGCTGATTCCAGGCATATTTACAGGTATGGCAGGCATCAGCAACTGTAAGACCAGCTACCAGCTATATATCTCTTAATCAGATGTAAGAAATGTACAGGTACCATACTGACATAGTACAAGTGCAATTCTTACAGTATCCTAGTGAACCCACACCCCTAAAACCACCGATGTAGAAAGATATGTGGTAATCTCAGGGTTCCTCTTTGTCTCTTTTTGATCCTGAGAGGTTTGGGTTTAATGTACATTTTATCAAATGTTACCAGCAACATGATCACGTGAGAGAAAAGCAGCAACTGTCACCTAAGTTAGTTCAGAATATGCAAATTATACCCATAGCCCTTTGTTTCCACGGTTGATGAGGGTAAGTTATTTGCATGCAATTACATTAATATTCTAATGGTTGTAATGAAATAGCCTCACCGCTTTTATTAAATTATAACACCCTTGCATGCATGCATGCAGTGTACCTTTTCCTAAAAACCATGGCAATAAATAGTGCTTGTCCCCACACTATGTGACCAAAAATATTCAGCAGTGTTTAAATGTACGGTGTTCTCTACAGTTTGCTGAGTTGTTTCTTTCATAATTGGAGTATTGATTGCACAGCCACCAAATGATTGGTCAAATCCCCCAGAAGCAG